CAAATTATAAAAGATAAGTATAAAATATTGCCGTTAATACAAGGGAACGGATAGAAGGTCAAGCCGAGGGCGCAACGGATTTATTTCAAATAGTCGAACCGTTAATGCTTTTTCATAGACTTTATTAAGAGTCGTAATTCGTCGAGTTGTTCAAATAAAAATTACAAAAATCAGAACTATCTTACATTCTCGTGTGTATAAGTCCAATGGCGGACCGAGCGTGCAACAAGCGAATAAACGTGAGATATAACGAAGAGTAAAATACTTCATTTCACCTTATCCGTTTTTATAAGACGATCCATCGCAACATTGGTCCTTCGAGCCGGATTTGGTGAAAGTAAAAAGTTTCGTGTAGTTTCGTGCATAATAAGCACATAGCCATTGTCGCAAGGACTACAACGTTGAAACAAGCGGGCCAAATACAAATGCCATCTGTAGAAGTGCAGCATTGATTTCATCAGTTCTGAACATTGCTAGTGAGAACATTGCTTGATGTTCTTTTCACACTGCATCGAAACAAGCCATCTCACTCGCACGCACGCGAGTCATAACAGCAGCGCAGCAGCATACGGACTCTCTCTCGCACCCACGCGAGCCATCGATATATTCTTCGCATCCCAGAGGCGTTCTCTATCACACTTCCGGACGAATCTTCCTACAACCAGGATAAGGCAAGGTTCTTCTACATCAGGTGATCGACTGCAACGTTTTAACCGACGGGTTATGTTCGATAAGGCAAGGTTCTTCTACATCAGGTGATCGACTGCGACGTTTCAACCGACAGGTTATGTTTGCGAGCGAATTATTATTCCGTTTAATGCACGCAAGCGATTTGAATAATTAATTAGCGATTGTTACGTAAGTTCCCCTTCGCTATATAGTGCGTATTGAGTCAGGGTCAACGTTTGTAATTCCGACGCGATTCTTTGAAAAATTCATCGGAAAAGATCGTTCGTTCTCCTTTAATTAAAAAAAAAAAATACAAGGAATAATTATAATCGTTCACAATAGCCGAATTAAGACTTTTGATTAAACAGCGCGGCCGAGTAAAGGCGAGGCTTACAGCCTTCGGTAATTTTGTTGCCCGCGTTGACACAAAAACCTGAGAAAAGGTCAGAATTAAATAGTCGCATTGAAAAGGCGGAATGCTTGTGGGTAGAGTTCGATGCAATTCAAAATAAAACTTTAGATATTGAGGAAGACGAAGCACAAACCATAGAACGAAACTTCTTTGAGGACACATATCACGAACTAATCACAGCGGCGCGACATTTGCAAGTGAGCGAACGATCCCCTCCCCCGCAATTTTATCAGCCAAATTATCCGATGCTCGCGCAACCAAATAATGGCAATCAACAAGCGGTATTTAAGCCACCCGTGAAGCTTCCAAGTATTGAATTGCCCAAATTTGATGGTAATTACGAATGCTGGATACTATTTCGCGATTTATTCGAATCACTTATCGCGTCTAACGCTAATATCCCGCCCGTGCAAAAACTGCATTATCTAAGATCAGCAGTGACAGGTGAAGCCTCAAAAGTGATTGCTTTGCTAGAAATCACCAACGCCAATTACGAGGTCGCGTGGAACATTTAAAAAAAAAGATATAAGAATAAGAAATTAATCGTTCATCACCTCATTTAAATATTATTAGATCTGTCATTTATTACGAAAAAATCACATGCCGACCTTAGACAATTAGCAGATAACGTCTCACAAAATATGCAAGGTCTGACAAAATTAGGTCAACCCGTAGAACATTGGGGCACATTGCTTATTCATATCATTTTACCAAAAATTGATAAGGGATCTTGTAGGGAACTTAAAAAATCCGAAATGGAAGAATTTCCTACGTTAAGTGAATTCATAAACTTTCTCATTAGCCGCAGTGCATTTTTAGAAGAATCTACAGCAAACCGAAACACTCAAATTTTCTCGGATACTCGCAACAATAACAAGACCAGTCAAGGTCAAAACAAAACTTCACGTTCATATGTGGCGTCAAATAACGCATCTTGTGTTATTGACTGTATGTTTAGACAGTCACAAGGTTTATGAATGTAGTTCATTTCTTAATATGTCGGTGACTGATAGAAATAATAAAGTCAGAAGGAAACGTTTGTGTATAAAATGTCTCAAAAAATATCACGGTAAAAATTGTAAAACCTCTAATTGCAAATTATGCAAGAGCTATACGCTATTGCACAATACGCTATTGCACAAATTCAAAGCTACGTCAGAAACGAACAGTAAAGAGACAAGGCTGTCCGTCAATGAATCTCAATCGAATACGGCAAATGCTGATAGTGCAAAGCAGTAATCTACCGCTTCTTCAAACGCAGACTCATTGTCTATCTCTCTCAGTCACTGTGCGATTAGAGAATCCTCTCAGGTAGGGATGTTCAATTCGATCTTTTAGAAAATCAATCTTTTCGAAAAAAGATCGCTCTTTAAATTGATCCTTAACCAGTTGAATGGTAATGTATCATATATGTACAAAAAAAATGTGCCAAACGTGGTAATGTATCATATATGTACATTTCTAAATAACTCCACTAATTTTCAACAGATTTGCATAAAACTTGATATCCTAAGGTTTTTTGGGCTGCTGAATTCGAATCTGTTGTCAAAATTGCAAAATTCAAAATGGCGGATCCAATATGGCGACTGTTAATGGTTAAAAGATTAAAATATTAGAGTTAGGTAAAATATGTATAAGACCTTATTTGTAGAGCTTTTTATGAGCTTCATTTTTTGTTTAACAACTTTTTCCGTACAATGAATACTTTCTGAAATAATTAACAAAAACAGTTTTATTTTTGAACCTTTGAGGGGGGCTGGGGGGCGGAGGGGGCATTTGCGCCAAAAATCCATTTGGGAATATTATTTACTAGATAAAATAAGTATTTAGGCTGAATATAAGCCAAATCGGAGGTGATAGCTTTTCGGAAAGTCCACCCCCCTTTTTTTATTCCTCTACTTTCGACCTCCACTTTTGATTGGAAAGTCGTAGTAAACATTTTTAAAAATTATTGTTTTTATCTTGAAACGCCCTTTCAAATGATCCCCACTCGACCCATAGTGCCATTTAACATTTCCACTCCTATTTTGACCCCCCCCCCCGCCCTGGGGGCGGGATCCACACCCATTTCGAAAAGTTGCTTTTTCGAAAACTTTGAACCCATGTTTCACCGTTTTTCGATATTTTAACTTTTGGCTCTTACCACTTTTGGCACAAATCTTTCGGAAAAGTCTACCACTCAACTGGTTAAGAGTTCGATTTTAAGGCAGATCGTTTATTTTAATGAGAGATCGATTTTCGATCTTTTAAAATAATTCTTACACACAAAACGCAGAAACGTTTGCAGTCGCTCGACGCCGTCAATCGACTTTATAGGTGCGTTCAAAAAACAAAATTACATAACTATTGTGTACATATGTACGTAAGAGCCAATCACGTTCGATTGCTACTGAGCAATTTGTTCTGCTGAACGTGCCTAAATCATTATCACTAATAAGAATGTTTCACTATGATTGGTCGATTTGCTTACGTCTAACGATTACGACTAAACTTTTTTACGTGTGATTGCTTTTACAGATTTTTAATGTCACTGACTTAGTTTATACGTCACCCTAATCGGGTTTAATAACATTCGTAATTTTAAAATTAAACTTGATTGGGGTAACGTATAAACGTAATCACTCAATTACTGGTTAAATTTTTTAGTTAAATTAAGTAGAGTCCGACCAAAATTTCGGTTTCGGTTTCGGTTACGGCCAGTTTCGGCCAAAAATCAAGATTTTGGCTTAATTTCGGTTTCGACCAAAACTAAAAAAGTGGTTTTGGTCGGACTCTACTTTTATGTGATCTCAATAATAATAACTGTTAATTTAATTTAATTATTAATTTAATTGTGATTTTAACTTTAAAAATGCAATATTACGCTTTATAATATATTATTTTTTATTTTGTAATATTGCGTTTAATTTGTGAAAAATACTTTATCTTTTAATAAGATATTAATAAAATCTTGTTTTTAAAACAGTACATAAATTTAACACATTTTCCAACGGTTTTTTAAAAATCATATGGCTTCTTATAAAACTCCTCCAAAAATTTCGGTTTCTGTTTCGGTTTCGGCCGAAATTGAGTAAAAACCGAATATTCGTTTTCGGTTTCGGCCGAAACTAAAAAAAGTGGTTTGGTCGGACTCTAAAATTAAGTTAAATGTGGCGTGGCACGCGTCTTCCCTCTTGCGGCCATCTGGTTCGGAGGAGGGGAGGGTAATTGAGTTAATTTTTTAGAATCCCGAAGCCGTATGCTTAAGCATGAACTCGTATTCTCATAGAGTCATAACTCTATCTTAAGACCGTTTTGGCGAAAACTATGCTTAAGACAGGTTTCCAGCAACGTCTATGAATACCGCCCTGAGATGCAGATATGTAAAATCTAGGGACCCTATTAAATCGATTTTTGATAGATTAATCTTTTCAATCCGGTTTTTTCACTAGATCGATTCTAATTAATTCGATTCAAGATCGATTCAGAAATCAATCTTATTATAAAAATTGCACATCCCTACTCTCAGGTCATTCTTTCTACAGCTATTTTGCTCATCCATGATTCTCATGGAACATTACATAAGTGTCGTGCTTTCCTTGATAGCGAGTCTCAATTAAACTTTATTACCTGACAATTAAGTAGTAAATTAAGTCTACAATATAAAAACATTGACAAAACTATTATGAGTATAAGTGATATGGGCGTAATGCCTTTAGGATGTGTTCGAACTAGTGAGAAACTTGTGAGAACCAATTTATTAAAAAATATATAATTTATTTTCTTCGTCAGAGAAGTATGTACAAGTTATTATGCTATATTGTGTTTGAGCGTTTTATTGCGCTAGAGGCGCTTTCTCGGCAAATGTGTAAGACCGAGAAGTTAAAATAAAACTTGACGAGCGCGGTAAGATATTACCGGCTGCGTCTTAGTATACTAAATGGGTCCTAAGAAGGACGGTTTGATAGATGAAGCTCGTTGTAACCCTTTCCCTGGTGTTGGAGGAACTCCGTTCGGAAAGTGGTCTTCCGTATTGCAACTGCTCTCCGAGCACGCCCTAGGCGGCGAGGTTTGGATTGCGACGGATCGAGTCTCCGGTGTGCCTGATGATGCGACCGTCTCGGTTCTCGACGCAACAGAGTGTTCTGTGAATCGAGGAGAAAGAGGTCTCCGAATTCAAATGTCCCCAGCAACAAGAGTATCTCTTGATGGCCGAGTCAGCCGGACACAGAACTCTAGAGGAATTAATTTCCAAGCAAGAGTCTGTGGGGGCGACGGCGGTGCTGGTGAGTCAGCGGGCCGCTTAGATGAAGTGCGCGGCTGAAGCTGGGACTCTATTTTTCTTTTGCGTGTCTTTCTAGGCACTGTGAGAAAAACGGCGAGGTAATTAGCCTCTGGTTACGCTCTGCTACTGCAGAGTTATTACTCAGCTCAAGGGCCCTAGTAGAGAGCTCGCCTTGAAGCGAATGAGTGAGGAAAAGCGTCGAAGCTCTTTTATACTGCGTTGCAGGCTCAGGTCTCGGCTGAGGCCCTGCGGCGCGTAGCGGCGCCGCGGCGTACTAAGCCGCTTCAGTACAGCGGTGTGGCGGTATGCCGCCACAAGTGATATTCCTATAAATGCTGTTCAACAAGTGGACGCAGTGATTCAGTCACGTACAAGCGCGTATCAAGCTAAGATTTCTCTTTTAATCATTAATAAAATAACTGAACGCTTACCTACGTTCAAAATAAATAAAAATAATCTAAACATTTCTCATGATTTGAAACTTGCTGATCCGAATTATCACATTCCTGATGACATAGATCTGCTATTGGAAGCATCGGTCTTTTGGGAGATCATGGGACGCGAGCAAATTCGATTATCAAAGAGGGCGCCCATAATTCAAGAAACTATTAGGCTGGATAATTTCAGGTAATGTGCAAACAAATTGCGCACATTAACGTACACGTAAAACATACTGTGGCGCATCTACCAATTTAAAAATTCAAAGGCAATTAGAAAAATTTTGGCATATAAAAGAAATAAAACAGCCACAGCACCACTTTCAAGAAGAAATCCAGTGTGGGGAACACTTTCTTGTCACTCATACTAGGAATGCAGAAGATCGATTCGTAGTGCAATTGCCACTGAAAGAGGGCATTCAAGAATTAGGAAAATTCTGACATCGCCGAAAAACGACTGAAATCATTAGAGCGCAAACTAGAAAAACAACCTGATCTAAAGTAGCAATACTATGAATCATGCGTGAATATGCCAAGTTAAACCACATGACAGAGGTTCCGGAAAATAGAACAAACAATAAAATTACATGCTACATTCCTTATCATGCGGTAATAAAAGAAGACAGCGCAACTACAAAATTAAAAGTAGTTTTTGATGCTTCATGCAAAACCACCTCAGGTCGATCACTCAACGAGTTTCTCAAAACAGGACCGAATTTGCAAAATGATTTGTTCAATATCATGCACTTGCGTCAACATAAGTGCGCAATGGTAGCAGACATCACTAAAATGTATCGACAAATTGAAATAACTGAAGAACATCGTAAGTTCCAACGCATATTGTGGAGGTGGTCACGAGAGGAACCGATCCGTACATTCAATTTGAACACTTATGGCATGTCGAGCTCATCATTCATAGCCATCAGATGCCTTCAAGAAACAGCGCGTAAATTAAAAGAATATTATTCACAAGCCAGTAAAGTAATATTAAAGGATTTCTATGTAAACGATCTATTGACTGAAACCAATTCAGTTAAAAAATTGAAAAAATTAAGACATGACATCATTAAAGTACTATCCAGCACTAAATTTGAGCTTAATAAATGGAAATCCAACGCCCCAGAGATCGAGGATTCAGACAACAAAGTGGACGCAATAAAACTTGGCGAAACAACGAAAATTCTAGGTTTATCTTGGAACACAACAATAGACACGTTTCACTATCGTGTTAAGCTAAAAAACGATGAGGAAAAGGTTACAAAACGCAATATATTATCCAGAATAGCCGAAATCTACGACCCCTTTGGATGGATAGGTCCAATAGTAGTTAGAGCCAAAATAATTTTGCAACGTCTTTAGTAGATGAACCAAGATTGGGACAAAAACATTACAGGTGAGACATTCACAATGTGGACCCAACGGAAGGCGCAAATTACGCTACTGGAAAACATTGTCATTCCAAGAAGGGTCTTATGCGACAATCCTACAAGGATAGAGCTCCACGGTTTCTGTGATGCATCCAAAGATGCATATGGTGCCTGCGTATACTTGCGTAGTTTCGATTCTGAAGATAAATATACGGCAAGACTTTTATGTGCCAAATCGCGGGTGACACCCATAAAAAAGATATTTTTGCCCAGGTTAGAATTATGCGGAGTTACATTGCTAGTTCATTTATACCAAAAGGTTTCACAAGCATTAATTGTTCAGTTACAAGATATATACTATTGGAGTAATTCCACGATAACCTTATCATGGATATCCAGCGAAGCAAATAGATGGAATACATTTGTGGCAAATAGAGTAGCCGAAATACATCGCGTCACGAACCGTGCTCAATGGTATCATATCAGTTCCCAAGATAATCCAGCTGATCCACTATCAAGAGGGATCAATCCTAAAAAATGGAATTATTGAGACTCTGGTGGAAAGGTCCTAACTTTCTACATCGCAATACTAATAGCGTTACATCCATTTAGGCTCGGAAGCGAAAGCAAGGACATACTAGAAGCTCGAGTAATAAGTTTAGTAACGCAAGATACAATTATAGAACGCAATTCAAGTATTATTCAAAGATTTTCCTTACTTACAAGATTAAAAAGGGTCATTGCCTACTGTTTGCGTTTCAAAGGTAACTCTTTAAACATCACAAAGCGAACAAACGAGCCATTAACGGTTCAAGATATGGATAAAGCATTAATGATAGCAGTTAAGATTTGTCAAGCTAATGAATTCCAGCAAGAACTACGCAATTTTCATAATCGAAAGCAATTAAGTTCGAAAAGTAAAATATTGACCCCTCACCTCTTTCTTGATGCAGATGGTATCATACGCGTGGGCAGGGGGGGATTCACCAATAGGTCAACATAGGCCATGGCCTAGGGGCCGCACGACTGAGAAAATTTTTTGTAAAACTTATTTTTAACCCGTCACGTACGGGAATTTTTTTCAAAAAGACTTAGTATACATGGACTCCGTATAACAGTTTGAGAGTGATGGCAGCACAACTGAGGGAGACAAGAGTGAAACAAAAGAGCCTCTCTATTCTCGTTCTCTTTCAGTTCTGCACAACTGAGAGAGACAAGAGTAAAACAAAAGAACCCCTCTATTCTTGCTCTCTCTCAGTTCTGCTGCTTTTACTAGTTTACACGGGAAATAGTACTTGCGGGATCCATGTATACTAAGTCCATGGTATCACGTATCACCGCAGAACCGCAGAACGTCGCACGTGAGGGCTCAGTCAAATTGGTTATTGGTTGACGCATGTATTCATTTTTTAAATTCTTTTTAATCAGTTTAGAAAATAGTTAAGGTACAATTAAGGTTTTATTAGTTAGATTAGGTAATTTTACAAAAAACGTATACTTTGCCCAAATTTTGAAGAAGGGGGGGCCGCAAGCAAGACTGGCCTAGAGCCGCAGGAACCCTAAATCCTCCTCTGCGCGTGGGGGGAAGGCTACGGCATGCACCAGTAGAGTATTCTAGAAAATACCCAATTATATTGCCTAATAAGCATCACTTCACAGAATTGTGATAATTAAGGACACTCATTACAGGAATTTGCACGCCGGCCCTCAAGCAGTATTAGCAGTTGTGCGCAGTCACTATTGTATCAGGTAGAGACGCGATTCGTCGTACACTAAGAAAATGCATAGTCTGTTTTCGCACAAACTCCACAACGGCGACGCGGTTAGGGACTGTTAGAGACAGTTTGAAAAAACAAACAGAAATAGAGATAGATAATTGGACAGATAAAGGAATACGAAGATACACAGAAAAAACAGAAAAGATAAACTTTAAAAAGGTATAAGAAGAAATGACGGAACTCAGAGAAAAATTAAAAGAAGCAAGGGAAAAGAGAAAAATAGGAAAGAAAAATCCAGGCAAAAGAAGGTAGGTGAGACAAAGAATATAGACACAACAAAACAAAGTTTAATAAAATGTTAAGATGAAGGAAAAAAGAAGGAATAAGTAAAGAAACATACAACGAGAAGAAAAGAAGACTATGTAATGACTATGTACAGACTATGCAAAGAAAAGTTAGAAAAAAAAGGAAACAAGAGCAAATAAAAATAACAAACTAGGAAGAAATATGGCCTATATCAAAAACGCAAAAGGCAAAAAAACACAAATAGACAAAGAAATAAAGGAAGGAGAATGAAAACAACATTTCATGAACTTACTAGAAAGGCAAGAAACATACAGTCCGGAAGAGACAGAAGAAACCAGTGAAATAAGAGAAAATGAGAATGGAGGGATGCGGAATGAAATAGAACAAGGACAGAAATAAAAACAGCTATCAAGAAACTAATAAAAAAGAAAAGCTACTGGGAAAGATAAGCTAAAGAACGAGGTATGGATTTACGCAGGTGAGAGAATAAAAAGAAAATTAAAGGAAATTTTAAACAAGATTTGGAAAGAAAAGGGATGGAAAAAGGATATAATTTATCCAATCTTTAAAAAAGTAGATAAAAAAGATGTCAAAAATTATAAAGGAATCACACTAATGGACAGAGTCTACAAAATCTATGATCTATAATGCTATGATCTTGGAAAATAGGCTAAGAATGGAAGTTAAAAGGCTGAGGATTCTTCCAGAGTCACAAGTTGGATTCAGAAAAGATAGAAGTTGCGTGGATAATATATACTATTATATACTAAAACGGCAGCGGAGAAAGTGATGTTGAGAAAAAAAGGAAAGCTATGTGTATTCTTCGCGAACTTAAAAACAGCCTTCGACAAAATAAATAGAAAAAAACTGTGGAGAAATATGAAAAACAAAGGAATAATCCTCAGATTGATAGAAAGAATAGAAGAAATATGAAATTTGATCACAAAGTTCGTGAAATTTTTGAATTTTCCGCGCTAGAAATGTCCGGTTGAATTATGATTTTTTTTATGTTGACACATCTGTTCTTGACATCTGTTTAAATTTTTAGCCATATTGAATGCGTAATTAACATATGATAAACAATTAAATGAGTTGTGTTTTAGTGTATTCGGCGATTTTACAATAAAGGATAAAAAAATTTGCATTAAATTTTGTGTAAAAAATAGAAATAAAGTGCTCTAACGTGAAAATGTTACAGAAGGCTTTTGGCGAGTCTAGTATACATGAAAGAACGATTTACAAATGGTACAAACGCTTCCAAGGTGGTCGTGAATCAGTTAAAGATGACTATGGTGGAGTGAGAGAGAAAGAGAATGAGGCAACGCGCTCAACGCGTTTCTTTTCTCTCACTCTACTGTAACTTTCAAGCCTTATCGGAAAGTACTTAATGAAAAATAACTTTATTATAGTGTTTTGAAAAGCTCTCGAGATCGACTATAAGAAAATGCAATAAAAAATAGAGGTTTCTATTTTTAAATTTTAAAGTGATTTTTATGTGACCTTAATTGCGCTAGCCAAGGTCACACTGATATTTCTGTCTAATGCGCTACTTAAAATCTTACAACTTTTATCTGAAACATTTTTTTGGAAAAACTCCTTTTCAAGATATTCGCGTGTATTGAATAAAATGGTTTACTCTGTATATACACAATAAATATTTAATATACATGTATATAATATATATATATACAGGGTGTCCCATTTTAATTACCCACCTCGAATATCTTGTAAATGATGCATTTTCGTGGAAAATGTTTCGGATAAAATTGGTTTGGTTTTTAAGGGGCCATAAAAAACTACTATTTGTTTGATCTTGGGAGAAAGTGTTAAGATCACGCCAAGATCACTTTGGTTTTCTTAAATGGAAATCTACACTTTTTATGACACATTCTTGCGGCTGACGTCAAGACGTTTTTCAAACACTAGTTACAAACTCTTTTTCGATAAGAACTTCCTGAGCTATGAGTCATCAAAGTTTAAGTACTGCCGACATTAGCATTACCCAAGGTGTACCACGAGGAGAAGGTTGCTCGATCGGGGCAGCGGGGAAAAAAACATTCCTTTCCACTTGAAGGCACAGTCCAATCATCTTATGTTGTTTTTTGTTGTCAGCATAACTGACTCTTCTGCTTGCTTCTCGTATAGCAATGTGAAAACAATTGTGGCGGACACCGCCCGTCATATAAACATGCCGCGCTTAATAACCTGCCCCATGCGCCATAGCGGTGAGCCGAACACAGTTCCTGCCTTTCTATCCCCTTTACATTTTTTTATGGGGAATAATAAAGAAAATTATTTTGTAAGAGAGCCGACGACTAGGAAAGATATGATTGAGCGAATCATTAATGCTTTGAGACTGATTTCTAGGAACGTCTTATCACAAGTTTGAAAGACGAGTGCACCATTGCCTTGAGGTAGAAGAGAATGTTTTCGAACATTTAAGAAATTAAAAATTTATGCACGCACGCACACACACAAATGTAAATCCGTTCGGACAACCTCTGCGTGATACAGCTTGAGTAATATTAATGTCGGCAATACTTAAACTTTGATAATTCATGCTCAGGAAATTTTTATCAAAAAAATTTGTAACCAGTGTTCCAGAAACGTCGTTGGCTATAAGCATATGCTATAAAAAATATAGATTTCTATTTAAGGAAACCAAAGTGACATTGGCGTGATCTTAACGCTTTCTCCTAAGGTCAAACAAACAATAATTTTCTATAGCCATCTCAGGACTAAACAAATTTTATCCGAAACATTTTCTATGAAAATGCGTCATTTATAAGATATTCCAGATGGCAATTAAAATGGGACACCCAGTATATTAGATGTGCAAATTTAATGTGTTTTTAACTTTATATTCTTCTAATTATTATAATATTTTAAATTTGAATATTTTGTATCGTATATTTGAAGTGTTATCAAGACGTTTGAATGATATTCGAAATTGCATTAACAATTTTATCATCTCAAAACTGCTATTTCTATTGCGAAAAAATTTGAAACCTGTTCGATAGATAGCATGTATATGACGAACATTTATTAATAGTTAAAAATTTGAACATTTATTAATTACACAGTCCAACAAGAAAATCTGCGGCGACCAAGGCCAGTATTTCTTAGTATATCCGAGGTTGCTGAATCCAGACCCGATAACGAAAAATGCCCAGTCAGGTCTTGTCAGGTTTTTAAGATAAATCGGGTAATATGAGCCAAGAACAGCGTTTTTTGCCATATTTATCATATTTTTGTTACCAAACGAAATTTTATTTTTCAATTTCATTAACGTCATTTTAAAGTGCTATTCTTCAAAGTCACTTTTCGCATTTTGCTCCGCTATATTGGATCTGCCATTTTAAATTTCTAGATTATGAATTCAGATTCGTAATCAGCGACCCCGAAAACCCTAGGATACCCATTTTCATACAAATCCATCTATTTTCCAGTTTTAATCCGCCATTTTACATTTTGGAAAACGATCATAACTAGATGAAAAAAAATCGCATAATAAAAAATAAAAATTTCTTTCAAAAGTGAAGAATAGCATTTTAATGTGGCGTTAATGGAAATAAAAAATAAAATTTTATTTAGCCACAAAGAAATGAAAAATATGGCAAAAAAACGCTGTTTTTGGCTCATATTACCCGATTTATCTCAAATATCTAACGTGTTAGACATTTTTTGCTGGCAGATTTGGATTCAGCGACCTAGAATTTACTAAAAAACTACTGGCCGTAATCGCAGCAGAAAAAAAGGTCAAATTTTGTCAGACAGTGTTCTACACTAATTGTAAGTGTATAAATATTAATTTATGCTTCTCTCTAAGCATAGTCAAAGCATTTTCTTTATTTTATTGATTTGTATAATAGCTCGCTCTCTCTCTCTCTCTCTCTCTCTCTCTCTCTCTCTCTCTCTCTCTCTCTCTCTCTCTCACTCAACAATTCTCAATACACATACAAAAACACACACAGGTATACAGGTTATCTCATTTTAATTGACCACCCCTCTTAACTTCGCAGGAAATAGTTAAATTAAAAAAATATTTTCTACAAAAGTTGTTGGGTTTGGAGGGGGACATCTGATGATGACATTGGTTTAATCTTGGGTGAACGTACCAAGGTCATATAGAGGTCTACTTTGTTTTCTTAAATGGAATACTCTTTTTGATTCCAGAATATGATAGCTGATATCAAGAGCTTTTCAAAATTCTATAATAAAGTTATTTTTCATTAAGTACTTTTCGAGTTATGAGACTTGAAAGTTACAGTATTTTAACATAAAATACAAAATATCTTGTAAAACATTCAGTTTTCGAGAATCTTACCTTAATACTTTTATGCACAAAATAATGAGACGAATCAATTGATATAAAGAAAACACAGTTGCCTTTAAGAAAAAATATGTAATTTGCAACATGCAGCTGCATACTTTGTGGAACACCCTGTATATTTGTAAATTTATGTAATTAGAGAAATATAATAGAATGGAAGACCCGGGTTCAATCCTTGGCTTAGCCACTCGCGCCCTGATATTTTTTCTCTTTTCCTTTCTCTCCAATAATTCCTATATGTAAGTTAATGTTTCTCGATATATGAGAACAATATACTTATAATTTCGTACACATTAGGTATCTCGATCTGAGATCGGTGTACAATTTAACTGTCTCTTGTAGACTAATTTATTAAAAATTCTTTATAAAAATAAATTAAAAATTTAGCACTAACATCCTGCGACGGCTCTCGATGCCATTCTATTATATTTCTTGAATTTATAGGGCCTTTACATTATATGTGTTTATGTAATTAGGTTGGTTTATGAAAGCTCGAAACGCTTAATTATGTTGTTTGAACCGTGGTATAATATGTACCATATGACCGAGCCATAGATGATATCGCATATTATTGTTAACTCGTTATTAAAGACTCATTGATTTATTATATATGTTTACGTTTATATTATTTTTTTAAATATCTAATAGTTGGTTAGCAAAAACTAGTCCGGCGGATGTGGCACGCGTTGAAAAACATACGTTCATCAGTACAGACAAGAAGAGAGATACTGTTCCTACGCCACGAAAAGGAATTATAGGAGATCTTGGAAACTGGATTTCTCCGAGAGATATGGATCAAGCTATTTTGGAACGTTTTCCGGGGTGTATGAAAGGTTAGTGGAAATTTTATTAGATATTTATGATTTATTATTGATTTTCAAATACACTGGGCAACAAAATTATCGCAACAGTAAATTTATATCAAAATTTCGTATAACTTCAAATAATTGTAACTTCGTCAAAAATTGCATTTAAAATTTTTTTTTTATTTTAAAGCTTAAAATCTCTGCTTTAAAAAGCATTTGTCAGATTTTAAATTTATTCCTTCCCCCTCCCGCTGTCTCTTCAAAAGTAAAGTGTTACGTCTCCAAAAAATTGCATAGTTTGACGTACTCCACAGGGTGGAATAAATTTTTTTTGCAAACGTCACTATAAATTTGGACTTTTCCTTGCAAATTAAAAAAAAAAGAGGTTTGTACAATTTTTTTTCGCGGAATTATGGCGTACCTATGCATTTTTGTTCAGTTACCATCAGCATTAACATTACTCGATGCGCACCACGGGGAGGTTGCTAGTCGGACATTGCACATCGCGTGCGCGCGCGCGTGTGTGTGTGTGTGTGTGTGTTTGGACGGGAAAAGTATGGATACGTTCGCAATTAAAACCACGTATTCCCACCTCGTGGCGGGATAATTTTTTGTAGACGCTCACGCATATTGATGCAGGGTCTAATTGTGGCCTGAGAAATTTCGTGCCATATCTGCTGTAGTGCTGCTTCCAGTTGCTGAAGATTGGTTGACTGTCTCTCCAAATCTCATCTCAGCCTTCTTCCCATCATGTTCTTTCCCATACATGTGGGATTCAAATCCGAGCTTATTGCTGGATGTGGGCGCATCAGTATTACGTAAGACGCAAAATTTCCTCCACATAGCGTTCCGCTGTTATTCCAGAAGATGGTAACGAGGTTCGTGCGTCCATGCATCTAAATTTTACCCCATATCATGACGGAACCACCACCAAACGCATCATTCCTTAGGCCATAATTAGACCCTGCATTAATATGCGTAAGTGTCTACAAGAAATCATCCCGCCACGAGGCAGGAATACGTGATTTTAAGTGCGAACATACCCACATTTCTCCTGTCCAAAACACACACATATACACAAACGCGCGCGCGCGCGCGTGCGCGATGTGCGTTGTCCGACCAGCACTCTTCCCGTGGTACGTATCGAGTAATGCTAATGCTGGCGGTAACTGAACAAAAATGCATAGGTAATTTTGATACGCCATAACTCCGCAAAAAACCTCTTTTTTTTTATTTGCAAAAAAAAGTCCAAATTTTACGATTATAGTGACATTTCTAAAAAAAATTCCACTCCGTGGAGTACGTCAAACTATGCAATTTTTTAAAGACGTAACACGTTTTTATTTTTGAAGAGACAACGGGAGGGGGAAGGAATAAATTCAAAATCTGACAAATGCTTTTTAAAGTAGAGACTTTAAGCTTTAAAATGAAAAAAAAATTTTTAAATATGCCAATTTAATGACGGAGTTACGATTATTTGAAGTTATGCAAAATTTTGATATAAATTTACTGTTGCGATAATTTTGTTCCTCAGTGTATACCATTATACAAAATAATTTATATACTTACAAATTATTTTCTGGGCAATTATCGAAAGAGGATAAACAATTATTTAATGTTTTAGGACATGTTTTAGTAGCATTTTTATGTGATATTTAGGAGAACCGTGTAATTACTTGTTTTATAAACAAAATTGGAAGCGATTTTGATAAAAGATTTGCAGTTAGTGAATTTATTGGGAAGAGGGAGTATAACTAATTATAAGAGATATAACTGTTGCACCTGATATATGTGCCGGTTATTATAAAAGTGGCCTAAGTCACAAAAAAAAATGAGATTTTTATTTAGTATTATATTATATCAACTATATTTCATAATTATGGAAGAATTTTTGCAAAGTTACCATGAAATAAGCAATAAAATAAAGTTGTTATTTTCATTATTATCAGGTGTAATTGCATGCTTATTTTGATAGTGGCATAAGTCATTTTTTTTCTAACATTGCGATAGAAAAAGTAACATTATCATAATTTTCAACATATTTTTTTATTATGTCGTCAGACAGCGGCTCAGGTAAATTTAACTTTACAAAAATATTTTATATTTATTTATAAATGTAATATCAATAATGTAAATAATGCTTAATATAATTAAATTGCCGTAAAAATTTTGCGAAACATTAAATTATTAATTGAGGTTATTTTGATCGTTGTGTTTCATAGACTTAGTACCACGAAATAATGTTTGCAAGAAATGGAAACGGATAAAATAATAATTAAAAAAAATAGTTAATACAATTAAAATAGTTAATACAATTCTAAAAGTAAATAAATTTGTTTCTTTTTAAGTTATTTTTTCAATTAAATTTATTAATTTTTTGTTATCGTAAATCATCAATTAGGACTACTATTAATTTTGAAAGTGGCATAAGTCATTCAACGGTTAAAAACACACAGTAATAGTAGTAGTAGTAGTAGTAGGAGGAAGAATAGCAGCAGCAGCAGCGAGCGAGACGAACGGTACAACACGTAATTACACACAATCAATTCGGCATCCACACACGCTACAGTAAATCTACTATTGCGAGACAATTCTTACGCGCTATCTCTGTCACACACACGCTACACGCACGGTGTTACGTGCCGCAACTTTCTAGTTCCTTAAATTACCCTTTTTATTCAAACCTTCAAACTATTTTTATCTTTACTTCTTCCGGACCCTAAACAAATAACTCTTCTATAATTGCAAAAAACGTAGGTTAGCCTAATCACTGTTCCTGTGCATAACGCGCACTTTCTCTTCTATAAAACCTTTTCTCTTCAATAAAACCTTCCACCTCTACGAATTACCTAGAGCACTTGGAACGAAGATCCATCTCATCAGTTCAGTTCTCGATCACAGCTCGAACCAGCAACACCTAATAAAAACTTTTCCATAAACGTATCCCGATTTATTCAAAATTATCTATTACGTGGCTTCTCGCACGTAACAATGGACGGCACGAACAGCTGATTACGTTCACGGCAGCTATCTGCCCCCCCCCTCCCCTTGACCTTTGACTATAGAAACCTGGACTGCTAGTAGCAGGAAAAAGTTGTAATAAACATGTGCAATAGCGCCACCATGGCCCTATACCAAGAACTAGTGTCATGACGTCACAGACGTAACCTGTCATAACGCCGTGATCCAAAGCCGTGATCAAAACATTGAGCGAGCTGAGACGCTGAGACTTCTCTTGTGTAATTTTTTAGAGATAAAGAGAATATGGGACGATATTGTTTTATATTGCTAAACGAGAGCAATGAAGCACATTCAGATTTCATTGCGAGGAAGTCTTGTGGTGGTCTACGCTTTCCCAGAACAGATACATTCACAATTGCTACATTCGCGGAGAAAATATATAATATATAGAATATATAATATATATAGAATACAAAATAAACTGCAATCAAAAAATGCGTAATTATACGCATTTTATAAAATGATTGTCACTGTTTTGCGACACTTAAATCTAAATAATATTTTTTAAAATTTCGACTCTCATATCAAAGATCTTGATTTCCTTCAAAGTCATAAATATGAATTGATTAAATTAATAATAAAATTATATTTGGATGTTAAATTATATTATTGCGGAAAAACTGCCACTTTTTACTTGCATAATTTTGTTCGTCATGCTAATACTAAAATTACTATTTTTAAAGATTAGTAATAATTATACACAGTTTTTATTATATAGTTATATAAGTAATATTGTATATAATTAATATTGTTTTAGCTGTACATAAAAATGCAGTATTAATATTTTAACATAAACTGTGATATTACATTTACTTCAAAAGCTTTTTCTTTTGTTTACTACATCTTTTCCATTCGAAGTTCTCATATTACACGTTTGAATTTACTGCTTTTTGGTCAAAAGGCGGAGCTAAAACCTAACCCATGTTTATTACATCTCTTTAGCATTGCGAAGATAGGCAAAGGGGCGGAGACTAGCAGTCTAGGTTTCTATAGTCAAAGCCCTTGACTATGAAAATATGAACTGCTAGTTACCCCCCACTTTTCCTATCTAACCCGTGTATAAGGCAGAGCTGCCAGTTTTCCCTGGAAAGCTCCATACGCACACAACCGAGATCCACTGACGTGTCCGTGTGCGCTCGGTTGTCGGTCTGGTAAAAGTGAGCGGACCTATGTTTTGTATCTCTTTTCTGCCAGCATCAAACCGGTTTTGAGGCTCACACGATTTCTTCTGCCAAGCATTGGCAGCGAAAATGCTTTCCCGAATTTCGCTCCACGCGACTAAGTCAACCAGCGGCGTGTTGCTTTCGCTCGACGCGATATTTTTTTTGAGATTTATAGTCTTTTATAAAACATATATCAAATTTATATTAATAAAATATTTTAACATTATGTATCTGCAGAATATGATTTTTTACGTTAATGTATAAAATAAGAATAAAGTAATAAATATTATATATCGTTAATAAATTTTCTATTATAGAAACCTCCTTCCCCCCTTTTTTATATTTTTTCGATTTGCAGCCTTCTATAAAACAATATAACACTATTTTTTCGCCAATGTACTAAACACCACGCACCTTTGACATGCACAATATTGTATGGATTAGTTATTCCCGACCCCGTTGCCACACGGTGGCGTTACAGATCTTGGATACAGAGTCAAGTTGGCTTTAGCAGTCCATATTTTCACAGTTAAAGATCTCTCCTATATACAGCAATACTGCAATGCAAGCAATGCTGTATATCCTACATAATCATATTCCTTATAATCCATATATCCTTTATAAACTTCCAAAAATCTTTATCCTGTCTCTCTAATCCTGCAACATTCCAAAATAATAACTTCTTTTTCCTTTCTCTTCTTCCTTTCCTTTATATTCCTTTCTTCAATCATTTCTTGACTTAAACAAAATTTCTTTTTATTTCATCCCTTCCACTCACTCTCTCTTCCCCCTCTTCTCTCCCTCTCCTCCCCCCCCCTTTATTACTCCAGTTTTCCTTTTTAT